TGGTCTACTCTCACCGAAAGAGACGCAACGTTTTAAATCTAACCAAACGAATGGTTAACCTAAACCAACGACATACACGCAAAATTGGAATTCCACAAATAATAATTACATTACATTTATGTTTCATTATGATACGTTATTTTGATTGGCTAACAGCATTCTCGCGTCATTCTGAAATTAACCTTCATTTCAAAATGAAATGTAACATTCATGATGTCACAAGCTTCCACAATAAAGTGCACAGGTAAATAAAAGAAAAACTTTATAGAAATCTTGTTTTCATGATCCTAGCAAATAAATGTAATTATATATAAATAACACATAGCTGAAAGGGTGATAGAGCAGATTGTTACCCCGAGAAAACATTGTCAACTGGGGCAAAGTTAGCGAAAACCAAAATGTTTGTTTCTAATGCAACTGCTAATCACTTAAAACTAAGGAAACCCCTGTAATTGGTGTTAAAGAAGTTTTTGACATCATCAATTTCCTATAATCATGCTTACTTCTAACCAAACAGCAAATCATAACAACTTATAGTTGCCTAAAATACCACCATCTGCGGAAACACAGCTTTTAAGCGCTTCTTCCTTTTTAATCATTGTATGTGGTCAATATAAGATTGAAGGAACAAAATCTTAAGAATGTGAAAACATTTAAAGTGAAAAAAAATATATGCGAGCATCATGCTATTGCTGGAAATTAAGGGGGAGAAACTTTGACCTTTCAATGTGCATTGTAACTGCCAGACTGAAATACGCATCTTTCGACTTTTCTTCTTGTTTGATTTGTTATTTCATTATAGACATTGATGTAGTGAAAAGACGTTTTATCTTTATAATGTCAACCATAAAATAATATAGACAAAAATAAATAAGAAATAAATTAATGAAAATTAAAATTTCCAAGAATTCACTTATAAGTATACAAATTGTCATCTTGGCTGCATAAACTGCATTGTTCATTGTTTAAATGCATTAATTCATCGAAAAAGAATAATTTTGTTTAAAAAAAATCTATTAAATCGCAATAATTTTAGTTACTACTAGACATCCTAATAGCTTGAATGACGTGTTCCTTTATTCACAGGAGGCTGACTTCAAACAAGAGCTTCTTAGGACGAATGAAAAGAAGCTACCATTATCTTTAGGCTACACTTTCAGCTATATAGATGATGTCCTCTCACTGAATAATGCAAAGTTTGTGACTATGTTGAACGCATATATCATGTATATCCCATCGAAATTGAAAAAAAAGACACAACAGATACAGTTAAGTCTACCATATTTTTTTTACTTACATCTATAAATTGACGATGAGAGGCGGTTGAGAACAAAACTTTACGACAAAAGAGATGATTTCAGCTTCACAATTGTGAACTTTCTATTTCTATTAGCAACATTCCAGAAGCGCCTGCATATGGAGTATATATCTCCGAGTAAATAAGATAATTCAAAATGCGAAGTTGAAATCATCCCTTCGAAAATTGTATGGACGCCATTACGAGTTGGTTGACCGTTATGGAACATCTGATTCACAGATGACGACAGATATGTTTAAATCGTTGTAACCACAATCATGTTCTCTCTGCCTCGAATGTGAACTACCGAATTAGACTTATCACCGGGTTAGTAATTACATGAATCACAAGATGGGTGCAACATGTGGAGCAGGATCTTCTTACCATTCCGGACCCCTTGAATTCACCCGCAGTTTTTGGTGGGGTCTGTGTTACTCAGTCTTCAGTTTAATATCTTGTGTTTTGTATACTGTTGTTTGACTTTTGGTCGTTTTTTTCGTTTTTTGTCCCGGCTTTGTCAGTGTTTGTTTTCAACTTATGAGTTTGAATGTCCCTTTGATATCTATTGCCTTTCTTTCAGTAATGAAATTCTTAAAAGTTGTGGTTGAATGTGTCATGATTACGAATTCGTTAGATGTCCCCGTGAGCAAATTAACTATTTTCGCGAATATTTGTCTTATTTCGTTTAGTCCTCTCAACTTTACTGAGAGGCTGTTTTTTTTGGGGCGATTTTCATTACTGCAACTAAGAATCTTCAAAGTTAAATGATAATAAGGGGACAGTCTCAAACCATGAATCAAAGAAACTTAGATAAAATAAAAGTCCAACAGACGACAGACGAAAAACAGTCCACAAAACACAACACCGAAATATAAAAACGAACACTACTTAAAACCGCTAATGATCTTATGAGGTCAGGAAGGACATTCAACCTTTCATTTATTTAATAACACAACTACATTTACTAATAATGTCGTTACATACACAATTACCTGCATGTATGTTTCAAAAGCTTATGGTGAAAACACTCAAAACAACATCTTTCGAGTAATTAACGAGATTAAATTTCTTAATACAGTTAATATGTCTTAAATTGAGAATGGAAATTGGGAATGTGTCAAAGAGGCAAAAACCCGACCAATGGGTCTTCAACACAGCGAAAAAATCCCGTACCCAGTGAAAATAGACGTCACACTAAACTCCTATTACCGTTTATATCACGTAAAAGACAACTCAGTGTTTCAAAACGCTGGTTACTTATTTCAATGTTGCTAACGATTTAGTCGCAAAGTCATGTTTGCATTTCAACATGAATTCAAAAGATAAATAAGGTTGACTTCGGAAAAAAAATCATAATATTTCCCTTCATTAGCTGGTATATTTCTTTTCAAACTTTTAATACCACTTCTTTTATTATGGAAAATTATTGTCCTCCCTGATATTGACAATTAGCGATCTGCTATCTAAACATAGAAAAGCAAAATGATCGCTATTCGCTGATGGCAGTATTTTGGGCAACTGCAAACACTTCAATAGAAGGCTGTTCCATAAACAAAATATATTAATTGCATCTTAAAATTATGAAAAAAATATTCCTTGACTGACAAACCATACATTTATTTGATTTTTGAGTGTACAAATATCGTTCCCTCAAGATATATTTTGCTTTTAGAGCATTTTTCTCATTGTTGTAGGATTTGTTAAGAAATGCAATTGTCTGGAAATATCGCGCAACTAAACTTTAGATTTTTGTTTTTATTTGGGATTTCTGTATCATGTTATATATAGTTCATATGATCTTTCTGAAAATTGTATCGTACAAGAACCAGAAAATGGCTTTTTGTTTAATCATCGCCAAAAATTGGAATGTTTATTCCTGACCTTTAATCTTGATTTAAAAAAAATTGCACCGTACGATTTTTTACGACCGGGCAAAACAGAAAGTGCAGATTATAAGCCATCGAATGATATATAATACAGCCGTGTGTTAGGTGGGTGCATTAAAGTCCTTAACTAAGAGGCTTTTTGAAAAATGTCACTCGCCTATCAGTGAATAGAGGTAAAATAACATATCAAAATTTGAAAAAATAAGTTATCACACGAAAAACAACATAGGCCACAATTATTTAATCATTCAAGGACCATAACTTCTGATCGGCAAATATGAAAAAGTTGAACTCGAAGTCCATTTGCAATAAAATTGATTCAAGGATTCTCAAGTATTCACAATACGCGAAATAAACAAGAAAAAGAGCGCATCTTTTAACTTAATCCATTGGATTGATTGTTGGTTGCTAAACGTCCAGTGGCAAAATATGTCATGCATGTTCAGGACGAGAACAAACTAGATATCATTGAGATGGGAGCCATCTCTGTGGGCCCCGCTGTGAATAATGTGTGGTAAAACATTTGTATCTTTATCATTGGACATGGGGTTGTCAACTGAAACCGAAGTTTATGACCTTGACCTTTGACCTAGGAAGTTGTACATAAATTATGACACACCCTCTGGTGTTGGTTTATATACATGTCAAGTATAAACTTTGAAATCATAACGGTTCTCAAGATATAGAGCGGACAGGATCTTTACCATAGGGCATGGGGTTGTCAACTTAAACCAAAGTTTTGATCTTGTCCTTTGACCTAGGAAGTTGTACATAAATTATGACACACCCTCTGGTGTTGGTTTATATACATGTCAAGTATAAACTTTGAAATCATAACGGTTCTCAAGATATAGAGCGGACACGATCTTTACCATAGGACATGGGGTTGTCAACTAAAACCAGTTTTGACCTTGACCTTTGACCTAGGAAGTTGTACATAAATTATAACACACCCTCTGGTGTTGGTTTATATACATGTCAAGTATAAACTTTGAAATCATAACGGTTCTCAAGATATAGAGCAGACACGATCTTTACCATAGGACATGGGGTTTTCAACTAAAACCAAAGTTTTTGACCTTGACCTTTGACCCAGGAAGTTGTACATACATTATGACACACCCTCTGGTGTTGGTTAATATACATGTCAAGTATAAACTTTGAAATCATAACGGTTCTCTAGATATAGAGCGGACACAATTTGTTACGGACGGACGGACGGACAGACGGGCGGACAGACTGATCACTATAGGGCGTCCGCCATTCGGCGGGGCCATCATTTACAATAAATTCAATAGGCAGGTCCTGTAAAAGGGGCCGTCTCGGACGAAGGTCGGGGAAATTTAGACTGCCACTTGAAAATTAGGATATTTTGGAAAGGGACAGCAATTCAGCCTTGCAACAGGCCACTCATGGAACCCTCAAAGAGTTGTTGCAATGGTTCTTAACGTGCAGAGAGCGTGACACTCTCTACACGAGGCATCGGATTTAACGTCCCCATGCTGACCGGACGTGGCTGCGTATTTTGTACATCTTGCACAGCCAAACGGACGCCCCACTTTGGCAAAAAAAAAAATGAAAACAACACGTTATAAATTTCATGCATCCGAAGCGCTTTCCTGGATTTACTTTCATCGGGAACGAATATTTGAACGGGTTTTACGGTCGTACGGTTACCTATAAATGCTTACATCCACTTCTTTTAAACTCTGGTGGATAGTTGTCTCATTGGCTATCGTACCTCATGTCTCACTGCGTTAAATCTATGATAGGATTTTACCGCGGAGACCCCGGTGAAAAATCATATCAAGAGTAACTCTGAAAAAAAATAATTTATTGAACTACGAGATCTGTACTCGATGCCGTCATGTGGATATCACTTGAGTAATCTAACAAAACGTTTCACGTTCTTCTTCGATGAGTATTTTTCATTATTTACCCGCATCGTATTTCTAATTTCAACTACCAACCTGCAACAAATTCGTCAAATATCTCGATTCGAAATCGATCGTGTTTATCAGTTCATTAACCTTCTCCAACTAGAATTTTATTTTCAATTAAGGAAATTGTTGGTTCCTTTCTTCTTTGCCCTTTCTTTATAATATTATTCTAGTTTGCTCAACTAATGTTTTGGCATATCTCTTTTTCATTGAATGCTACGCGATATATCCAGCTTTATCGTAATTCTGAACTGGTATTTTTTTAACATTACACGTTTTTATCTTTGGGTTGCTCAAAATCAAACAAGTGCAAATTTATCGGACCAAGTATATTCTTACATGGTCGGATGGTCCAAACGAAGATATAAACTTATTAAATCGCACGGACAATGTACTAAACTATAAATGGATTTAAAATATTGTCTCGTAAAGACGAATACATTCCTATGTGTCTAAACAGATTTGGCTGCACCATTAATGCAGACAATTTGTTATGTTTGCGAAAGGCGTCGATGGCAGTGTCTTTACCAAATTTAGAATAACATTGTATGCCATTTAAATAGTCGACTACTTGTCGCATACCATGCCTTGTATATAAATTAGCTGGCGTACAGCAAGATGGTGCCGGAGTCACTTGATATAAGTATTTTGACATTCGCCGCAGTTCTATGAGGTTCTGTCTGCCGATAACTAGAAATACTAGTATAAAATAAATAAAAGATGCTGTCCACAAAACGCTCTTATTAATATTGTTTGTAGGGCGTAGTTTTTGATAAAGCGATACAAATAAGGCAGACATCATTAAACTGATTCCTATTAATTCTGGTATCCTCTCCAGTTCAAAACTTATGTACCCCAGAAGTCGATCTGGATGATAGAACTTCACGTATGTTACATTCATTTTGTGTTTTTGTTTTGTCAGCATGTAGTCAAGAACTGTAAACAAATCTTTATGAGGAAGTGCGTCATCTTCCACAAGAAAAACGTAAGAAACATTCTGTCGTAGAGTCTGTTCACCACAATATACATAATCTTCTTTTTCTTTTTCAAGTGTCAATGTTATGGTTCTCCGCTGGGTAACTGAAGTGTTTGGGAATCGACTGAACGTTGGTATAATTTTAGAAAGTTTTAATACTTCGTTGAAGGTAGATGGCTCTTCGTCAACATTGCAAATAAATAACTTATACGTTAGCTGTAATTTTGATGAATTCTGCAATTGTTCCAAAAAATACGCAACAACTTGGGATAAATATCTGGGTTCATATTTATCAAACGAATGTCGATTTCTTGAAACGGAAATGATTGAAATGCCAACATCAATTTTCACTTCCGGTCCTAATTTCTTTTTTCTGTGCAACTTTTTGATAAATTCATCTGAAAATTTTAATCTTTCATTATTTTCTTCTGTCAAAATCCGTCTGCCTTCTGGTTTACTTTGTCTCAAAATCAGCGAATAGAAAGAAAAGCGAAGTCTGTAGCAAAAGACCGGCAAAACGATCAGAAATGTGATGAAAGTTAAAAATATCCAATTTGTTAGAAAACGTTTGTCCTCAAAGTTACAAAATCTTCTCGCTGAAAAAGATAAAATTATATTCTACGTTAGAAAAATATATAATTCAATGTATATTTATTTATCTGATTAGAATAATAGTACTTGCTTTAAGCATTTTGTTTTTTATTCCTAGATCAAACTTTAAAAGAAATTCAAGAAATACAACTCTACGGATCCGATTTATGCGTAGGTGTACTTTCTGGAATATAAAACGATGTCATAACATTAAACGGTACCAGTTTTAATGTATATCATCATTTAGGGACTGTCTTCAAACGCATCCCAATGAAAAGAGCGACCACTAATGGTGTGGTTTTATATCACATATTGATTCATTGTTGCACACCTGTTCATTCATGGCTCAATTTGTGAAAAAATAGCAAGTTTGTTAATAAGGACATTTTAATGCACCTATATGTATATATACTAGTTATTCTTCGTGTCACTGATCATTTTTGCCATTTACATTTTTAATCTAGCTCCTCAAGTTTTTGAGATATTAGCTCAAACTGCATATTACAGTCAAAATCAAAATTTCAGGGGCAATTACTCCAAAATAAAGTGTCAAATTTTATGAGTATATAGATCGTGTAGTGCTGGTCATTTTTGCAATTTAGAGTTTTAAACTAGCCTCTATATTTTTCACGATAACAGCCAAAAACTGCAAACGAATGGAAAACATGTATATTTAAGAGTTTGTAACACTATAATAAAGATTGACAGATTTTTCTCCAATTTTTAGGGGTGTGGTTTGTGGGGAGGATATTTATGCTACCACATCATATATTTAATCTTGATGCCTTGCCCTTGTCCCTTGTCATATATAATGAAGATTGAAAACGTGATTAATCCCAGTTCTAGAACATATTATCTTGTCAAAACAAGGATGTTACCTATGATCTTAATTATCACTGTATTTAAATTATATACTTCATACGTTCTTGATCGGATTATATCATCTATATTTAGATTTGGCCGCCAGCTTGGAACCTTAGAACCTTCCTAAACCATACTACTAATCATTGTATAAAATAACATTTTTCTAATCATATTTAAGTTTATTTTTCTTTATATAGTTGTAATATTTGCCGCTTTATGTAAAGCAGTCGTCAAGCAACCAATTTACCTAACATATTTTTAAACTCTTGCGGAGCTTAGTATTTACGACTACCCAGGAAACGGTTAGTTTACAATAACATTAACGAGGCCAATAAACAGTAACAGATGAGCATTAAACGTTTCTGAGAATATTTATCCAATCAACCAATTTATACCGGGCATATGACTGTTGCAGACTCTATTTTAATATTTTTGATGTAGTTAATAGGTTTCTGAGATAAGCGAACTGTGTAGCCTTTCGACTATCTAAGAAACCTTTATATTGTGAGATTAAGAGATGAGCAAACCGTTTTCAATTCGGCTATCAAGCAAATCATGCGTACATAAGATTCCTGGATATGTCTCAATAATGTGTTATAAAGGAAACAATATATTCCTATTTATTAAATATGATCAATCCAGTTTAAACAATTAGCAAAAAAATGTAATTCTTTTCAGCTTTTAACCTTAGACTGTTTAATGTCAATTTCCTGTTTCATCAGATGGAATTATATGGAGGTTAAAATTTTGCTGCATTACCAAATTTCGAAGATTTCTGAGATAGTAGAAACCATAATTTCCGGGTTAGCAGCTTGAGTGGAACTAAATCAGAAATTCGATAATAAGCGCCGTTCGGTGGTAGCAGTATAACATACGTAGATGCAATCAAACTGGTAGGAAAAGTACAAAAAAAATAAAAACAGGTCGGGCAATTCAGTTTACAAGTACCCATAATCTCCGTGCATCATACGACCAATTTTATCTTACGCAACCTTAGATATGAATATGTGCATACATTTTTATCATATATAAGTCAGGGTCTTGTTATCGTATATGAGATTAATCTGTATTTATTCAATAAACAGTACTGCCGAGTGTAATAAAAAGTTAGTTATTCACCGACAAACTAAATAATACACGAGGGGACAGCATGGTTCCAATGCAACAAGTCGACAATCGAACGCATAATTCTAATATTTTCTTAAAATTAAGATCGCACTTGCTCGAATAAATATCAAAATTTCAAGTTGCACTTATCCTACGTATATATTTGGACTGATTCCTTTATTCAAAACATGTGATATGTATTCGTGTATAAAACTTACATTTACAAAACGATGTATGGGTTTGCATATATAGATTTTTGTTTGTTTCCTATGCACAAGCTAGATTTTCATAAGAAAAACATTGAGTTTTGTCCATTGCATTTAACCCTGACTGTTGAAATTTAAAAAGTTATATCAGAAATTTTTAAAGATGTATAAATGTGTTATTCAACATAGAAAACTGCCTTTTAGTTACCCAGTCTGTATTTTTGAGAGACCACAACTATAGAAAGAGAAAAAATCATGAAAAAATGTTACGAAGCTTACTAGGATACAACATTTTATTTTTTGTCACAGGGGAAAAACTCTCAAGGTCAATGGGCTAATGACCTCTGCTTCTTTCCAATAAAAACGACAAGATGATGAAATAATGAAACTGCAAACTCTATAATAAGTTATAACCACTGACGCTAGTGGTAGTATTGTCATGATTATTGTGACTTCAAAAAGACACCATGACATCACAGGTACTCGTCACTGTAAAAAATACACCCATATACCTTAAAGTTTACTTAGCACGGTACTTATAAAAACGTTAATAGGTATGCATATGTTTTAAGAGACAAGTGTCTGCGCCACTAATGTATGAAATGTATTGTATTTGTCTGAAATATCATAACCAAATTATCTATTTATATTCATGTATACCATGTGCGTCTATCTCCCACCTTGCCATGCAGCACCGTCCCTTGGTGCTTTTGCAGTTAAGTTAAGTATCCTATACATTGCCAATTTATTTTAGGAACTTTTTGATGTTGGGGTGTACCTGAGAAGGAGGGAAACACTGTTGAACGTATATTTATAAATGTGTGTAGTTCATGATGTTGAAACTGCTTTTTCTTTTCTTTGTATGTATACTAGACTATTGTTGTGTCTTTTTGTTATTGTTTTATTGATGTCTTATATTGTATTATGCTCCTTGTGAGCCCATTTAATGGAAATAAAACATTTTTCTTCTTCTATAGAAATATACATACTTTATTTACACATAATGAAATGTTTAATTATTTGAATTCATTTAAAGGTTACAGCATCTTTATCATCGCAATTTTGCACACACAATCTGGAATACTACTTGAGCCGATTGGTAACAGGATAGAACTAAATTTGGTGGTATATCGTAAACGTACGTTCTTGTTACCAAAAGTGTAATGACAAAAGTAAAATATGTGAGGGTAGTACTTGATGTAGACCGTATAATCTGTCTCTTCGTGTTTATTTTTGACATTTCATATTTCCTTTTTATCATTTGGATTTTTTTTTAACACGGACGGACGTGTTCAACAAAAAAAAAAAGTCAAAATGAGGAAAATAAAATATGGGAAAGGTGTAATATGGACACAGGAGACAGAAAATTTCGGTCTATACTTGATGTTGTGTGTAACAGAGAAAAACAACTAGATGTGTCGGAACGACACGAATGGCCTCGTCTCAAAAAGTTGAAAAATCTGCAATTTCAACAACATATGTGGACACAAACATTCACTGGTGTTAATATGTCTTTTGGTTGAGTTAAGCCATTTCAATTGATATTTTATAGTGTGTCTTTCTATGTTGTGATGTTACACTATTGTTTCAGATAAGGGTGAAGGTTTGGTACCATTAAAACGTTTAAATCCGCTGCAATTGTTTGCACCTGTCCTAAGTCAGGAATCTGATGTTCAGTAGTTGTCGTTTGTTGATGTGGTTCATAAGTGTTTCTCGTTTCTCGTTTTTTATATAGATTAGACCGTTGGTTTTCCCGTTTGAATGGTTTTACACTAGTAATTTTTGGGGCCCTATATAGCTTGTTGTTCGGTGTGAGGCAAGGCTCCATGTTGAAGACCGTACTTTGACCTATAATGGTTTACTTTTATACATTTTGACTTGGATGGAGAGTTGTCTCATTGGCACTCATACCATATCTTCTTATAACTATGGACAGTATCCAGCTCTCAAGACAAATACTAGTTCAAGTTGATGAAAAGTTTCCTTGGTCAATGAGTTGTTAAATTTCAAACTATCAGTAAACAGGAAGTGGATGTACTGCAAATCTAACAAGATGTGTTGAAACGACATGAAAATCAGCATAGCGGAACGAAACATAAATTTGATCGGGCTGACATTCATAAGGGGGTTCCCCAGGGTTCTATCCTGGGCCCCCTACTACTCAATGTTTTTATCAATGATATATTCTTATTTATAAGAAATGGAACTCTGTATAACTATGCAAATGACAATACTTTATCTTACTGTAGTCCTGATTATGATGTTTTGATATCTACTTTGGAATCTGAATCACTCAAACTTATTGAGTGGTTCAAAATAAATAAAATGCAGGCAAACCCAGACAAATTTCAGGTCTTAGCAGTTGGGAAAAAGACATTTAACAAAAATCCATCTATACGTATCCAAAGTGCTGATCTTTCGTGTGAGTTAACTGTCAATTTACTTGGCATTGACATAGATTATCAGCTAAATTATGATATTCATATTGGTAAAATATGCAGGAAGGCATCTCAGCAACTAAATATTTTGAAACGTTTGGTAGCTTATCTGAACAAGCTAAGTAAGTTTACTATTTTCCATACATTTACTTTGCCAAATATCAATTTCTGCCCTTTGGCATGGCATTTTTGTACCGAGAAAAATTCAAAAAAATTCGAAAAAGTGCAAGAAAGAGCACTAAGGTTTGTGTACGAAGACCATTCAAGCTCATATCAACAGTTGCTTAAAAAGGCTAAGATGCCTTCACTGCATATTAAAAGACAAAGATCAATGGCAATTGAAACTTTTAATATAGTCAATAAATTAGCACCTGTCTGTTTACATGATTTATTAAATGTAAAAGATTGTAAATATTCTTTCAGATATAGAAATATACTGGATATGCCACATGTAAAAACTACACAGTTTGGTAAGAAAAGTTTTAAATTTGCAGCTGCTACTCTGTGGAACAGCCTACCTGACCATTTCAGGACTGAAAACAGTTTTTCTCAATTTAAGAGCCTTATACAGTCTTGGAATTTTTCAAAATGTTGTTGTTCTGCTTGTAGATAAGCTTTTTCATATTTTAGAAGTTGCTCTAACATGTTATGCCTTAAATTTTTGCATGTGTGCTATATTTTATTTGTGCTTAATTTTAGTTGTGCTTAAATTTTAGTTGTGCTTCAGCTTTGGCTTTATATATGTATTTTAGTAGTGCTTTGCATGTATTTCAATATGCCTGTGCTGATATATATCCTGTCTGCATGTTGTGTGTTTTAATGTTGTGTTTGTGTTTCTTTATATTTGGTAATAAAATGCTCCGCAGGGCGCAGCTTGATACGACCGCAGAGGTCGAACCCTGAACAGTTGGGGGAAGTATGGACACAACATTCAAGCTTGATACAGCTTTGGATTTGGATTGTGATTAAATATTTGACACAGCATAGGTTTCTAACACAGATTGAATGTGGTCTAAGAACTTAAAAATTTTAAATTGGACATTCACCTATTATGGTCCAATATCCAAAATCTAAATACATGGTTAGATTCAGCATATCAAAGAACCCCAAGAATTCAATTTTTGATGAAATCAAACAAAGTTTAATTTCGGACCCTTTTGACCTCAATGTGGACAAAGTTGATAACGGGGCCCAAAAATCAAAAATCTAAATACATGGTTAGATTCAGCATATCAAAGAACCCCATATATTCAATTTTTGTTGAAATCAAACAAAGTTTAATTTTGGACCCCGATTTGGACCAACTTGAAAACTGGGCCCATAATCAAAAATCTAAATACATGTTTAGATTCAGCATATCAAAGAACCCTAAGAATTCAATTTTTGTTAAAATCAAACTAAGTTTAATTTTGGACCCTTTGGACCTTAATGTAGACCAATTTGAAAACGGAACCAAAAATTAAGAATCTAAATACACGGTTAGATTCGGCATATCAAAGAACCCCAATAATTCAATTTTTGATGAAATCAAACAAAGTTTAATTTTGGACCCTTTTGACCTCAATGTGGACAAAGTTGATAACGGGGCCCAAAAATCAAAAATCTAAATACATGGTTAGATTCAGCATATCAAAGAACCCCATATATTCAATTTTTGTTGAAATCAAACAAAGTTTAATTTTGGACCCCGATTTGGACCAACTTGAAAACTGGGCCCATAATCAAAAATCTAAATACATGTTTAGATTCAGCATATCAAAGAACCCTAAGAATTCAATTTTTGTTAAAATCAAACTAAGTTTAATTTTGGACCCTTTGGACCTTAATGTAGACCAATTTGAAAACGGAACCAAAATTTAAGAATCTAAATACACAGTTAGATTCGGCATATCAAAGAACCCCAATAATTCAATTTTTGATGAAATCAAACAAAGTTTAATTTTGGACCCTTTGGACCTCAATGTGGACCAATTTAAAAACGGGGCCCAAAATCCAAAAACTAAATACACGGTTATATTCAGCATATTAAAGAACCCCATGAAATCAAGAATAAAACCCCATTGAAATTGGTCAAGAAATAAGCAATTTATAGGAAGTATCTTCTTTTGCACAATCCTGTGCTATTAAATATTTCTTGCTATTGCGCAATACTGTACAATTGACAATTTCTTGCTATTGCGCAATATTGTGCTATTGGATATTTCTTGCTATTGCGCAATACTGTGCAATTGAAGATTTCTTGCTATTGCGCAATACTGTGCAATTGAAGATTTCTTGCTATTGTGCAATACTGTGCAATTGAAAATTTCTTGCTATTGCACAATACTTATTATATAATAATTTACACATCCTGTTTGGTGTGTATCTACTACCATATTATTATTATTTGATTTTAAATATAAATCAGAAATAACCAACTTAAAATGGAAAATTTTAAAAGAAACAAAAAAGGAAAAAAAGAAAAAAAAGGAAAAAAAAATAAATCCCCCCCCAAATTTTTTTGAACCCCCATTATGATTCATCACCCCCAAACTCAATCCCAGCCTTCCCTTTGTGGTATGGTACCTTGCAGTACAATTTCAGAGAGATCCATACACTTGAACACAAGTTATTGTCTGGAAACTAGAAAAAAATGTGTTTTTTGGCCCCTTTTTGGCCCCAAATTCCTAAACGTTTAGGGCAATTACCCCCAAACTCAAACCCAGATTTCCCTTTGTGATATGGAACCTTGTAGTACAATTTCAGAAAGATCCATACACTTACACACAAGTTATTGTCATGAAACTAGAAAAACGCTTGTTTTTTGCCCCTTTTTTGGCCCCTAATTCCTAAAATTTGGAGGCAATTACCCCCAAAATCAATCCCAGCATTCCTTTAGTGATATGGAACCTTGTGGTACAATGTCAGAGAGATCCATACACTAACACACAAGTTATGTCTGGAAGTTACAAAAATGCTTATTTTTGGCCCCTTTTTGGCCCCTAATTTCTTTACTGTTATTACCATAACCCCCAAAATCAATCCCAACCTTCCTTTTGTGGTATTGAACCTTGTGGTAAAATTTCATAAAGATCCATTCACTTAAACTAAAGTTAGAGTGCGAAAACCAATGTGTCTTCGGACGACGCCGGACGACGCCGGACGACGACGACGACGACGACGACGACGACGACGACGACGACGACGACGACGACGACGACGCCGGACGACGACGACGCCAACGTCATACCAATATACGACCACAAAAATTTTTTTGCGGTCGTATAAAAAAGCTCCTAAGAGCTTATGTTTGTATTGTTATATGTGAACCGAATCAAAATAAAACTTTCGTATTCGTATTATATCTGTAACTCATCATGGTTAACTCACATATCAAAAATCAGCGCAAAATCTGAAGGCGTATAGAAAAAAAGTCCGTATAACTGTGATTTTCAACAATTTTCAAAGTCCAAAACTTGTAATTTCAGCAAAAATCAGCAGAGCAGATCGAAACTTAAACACGATCTGTAACATATCATGGTTAACTCACATACTAAAAATCAGTCCAATATCTGAAGGCGTTTAGAAAAAAAGTCCGGATAACTGTGATTTTCAACAAATTATCAAATTCCAAAGTCCGTAATTTCGGCAAAAATTAGCAGAGCAGAACGAACCTTAAACTTGATCTGTAACTCATCATGGTTAACTCACATACCAAAAAATCAGCCAAATATCTGAAGGCGTATAGAAAAAAAAATCCGTATAACTGTGATTTTCAACAATTTATCAAAGTGAAAAGCCCGTAATTTCTGCAAAAATTAGCAGAGAGGAACGAAACTTAAACTTGATCTGTAGCTCATCATTGTTAACTCACATACCAAAAAATCAGCCCAATATCTGAAGGCGTTTAGACAAAAATTGCGTATAATGGTTTGTTGCGGAATGACGGAATGACGGACAAGGGTAAAACTATATGGCCCCGACAATTTTGTAACTGAATATGAAGAATTGGTATCTTAGACTTGTAAATGTACATTACTAGAGGTCAATTTTACGTTTGAAAACCATATTTAAGAGGTATTTTTCGGTACAACATATGGAAAACTGACAAACAATCTACGAATAAATACAAAGAAAAAATATATATATATTTTTTCTTGAAAATAGTTCAATTTTCTTGTTTATGAAAACAGCTTGAACTTTATCCATACCTGTTTTTAAACAGCTGAAAACGGAAACAGGATAGACAAAATATTGCATCACCCAACCCTAACAAAATGAGTCAATACATTCTTGCATGACATGAATAAGATTGCATATGGTGTTTAAAAAGTGTTGTATTTTTTTTTTTTACTTCTAAAGATGTTGTTAAAGAAGTAAGTTCAAAATTCGATATTTTTTTAAATAAACCATACATTAGATTGAATTATTATAAGCTATTATGCTTTGACCCAACTAACTAAATTATTTAAAGAGTGTCGAAAATTGTTGAACGGTGAGGGCGAAACTATTAAAGATTTTCCGTTTAAATCGGATATTCTTGAAGGAGTTAACACGGATATGTCAACAGTATATGTTTATTAAATGACCCAAAGATACTACGTGTCATAGTCCTATGAATCATTACGTAGAAAAAATGCATACAATTTAAAACATCAAAATACAGATTTATGTTTCTGTAACAAGACACAAGTATAACATAATGATGTGAAATTAGTTTACATTGTGTTTTCTTGTATATTTCATAATGACAATACACACAACAATGTTACAAATAAGTACACATTTATTCATTTGTTATAATACGTCCGCATTCGTTAAATATAAAAGTAAATCCTTAAGGATCCCCTAACATAATTTAAGATTACCTGCAACAAACTTCATCCCGGTGTTTATGTATTGTGTATTATATGTGTAGCTCTGGTGTTAATACATTTGTTGATGATGGAGTTAAGGTACAGGTGTCTTACGAATAAACGACGATATTTCAGGCAGTTTAAGTCTTCTGACGGTTAAAAATATCTTAATATCTCTTATCATTAAAGCGGAAATACATTTTAGCATCTAACAGAGTTTGCGCATTCAATCATTACGAGGTACCTGAGGGATTTCTTTTCCAATTATTGCACCTCAAGGTTTCTAAACATTATTTTGTTTAAAGTTATAAAGTTTGGGCCACACTGAGCCGAATTGTGTTCCAGTGTATTTGTATCTTTTAAATAAAAGCCATTATTATTATTGTTATTATTGATAATAAACCTTTTATCCACACAAAGTGGACTGAAAATAAAAATAGAGGGACAAAATTTATTATCTACTGTTATTGTAATATCGTATGGAAAAGAACAAGAACATATAAAATAAGTTAAAATAAGTTAAAATATTACAGAATATTTACGAAAAAAATTATTAAAAAAAAAGAAAAAAAAGGGGGGGTTCCATTACTTAGGACCTAGCTAGCTGTGATATCATTATATGTTATAGCACTCACGTCTTAGATCATAAACAAAAGTACGCAGGTGGGGGCCTATAAACAGGATAACTATGTATTTCGTTTAAAGGATAAGGTTATAAGACAAGGCGATAGTATTTGCTTTCAGCAATTCGCTGGCTATTATTGCGCATATATGTTTTGCCTCATTTAATTGATTTGCAGTTAACGTTTTACTGCGCTACACTATATAGAGCTGCGTCGGATAGAAATCGACCTTATGCAAATGAATATCCATGCATTTATTAACCTATTTCGGTTGAAAAATTCTTTATGCAAAGTCTGTAACTGTTTGAAAATTGAGTTGTTATAAGAACCCTACAAAACAGACCAAAATTCATCTTTTATTTCATATTTGAATGTTCCAAAAATTAATCCAAGTCTTATACATGTACATTTATACGAGCACTTCGGTCTACAATACAAGTACTAGTATTTTATCTAGCTAGTTTGGTTATTCCGCTTGACTTAAGCCAGTTTTCGTTTGACCAAGAATAAGCACCAGATGCATAAGTTAAGTTGTCTAAAACGGGGTAAATGTAATTGGATTATAATGCCAAAAGAGGTATGATAATACCCAAACATATCCTAGGTCAGTTTTGCCTGAAGGAGGTGGAGTTTAAAAAAAAAAGGAAAACACGAATTTCAAACTTATCAACTGAGTGCGTCTACCCAACTTCTCCCTTTAAAATGCTAAGTGTATAACTCACTAAGTCCAAAGTATAATTATATCCTATATCAAAGACAAACTAGTTTTGGGGTTGTTTTTGTTGAAGGTTATTTACAACTACATTTAAATTGACTTATTCGCTATTTTCGGAAAAATTGATGCGACGTAACGTCGTTCAAGTCAAAACAAACATTGTCACACTTTTATTTTTACTTCCTACCGGACATATCACCCCTTTATTATCCTCTTGAATCATAACAAGATTAGTTACGATTATGATGGTTTTCATGAAGAGAAATTACAAGGGCATATACGAATAAAAAAAATTCAGAACATGTAAGCATAAACACATGATATATATATATATATAACTTTCAGTTAAACTCGGAAAATGTGCTTTATTTAGTAAGAATGGGAGGATTTCTTCGTGTTTTAATGTTTTCAAAAATAACACCTGTTCCCGCCATTTAAAACTGAAATGTCAACAATATTTAGCATAGGGTAAACACATACAAATTTTAATCTTCCTGGAAATTTCAAGTACATCGATATCGAAATACATTTATTTATCTAACAGATACAAGCACTTTTTTGTATGATTCTTTTTCATTGTTTGTACAATTGATTTTAATGTTTCTAATATACTGCAAATACGAGTGTATAGATAAATTAATGACTGAGGCTTGAAAGACCATAAATTGATAATTGGGTCTTATCAAAAATCACATTTCTTTTGTCTCGCCTTGATAGAGTCAAAAAGCGATTGGGTTAGTTTACGTGGAACCACTTATCATAAGTCAGTGATAATATTTAGTATGCAGTAAGATTATATATAAGCATGTGTACATCTCAATTCCATGGAGATAAGTTAGCCCTGCCCCAGTATTGACTCTGAATTACACATGTTTACATTTTAAAGTTTGTGATAAGGTAATTTTAAGGGAAACCAAGTCAATGATATTATGCATGCTGTTGTATATTCATAGGCACATCTCATTACCATGTAGATTAGTTGGCCCTGCCCCTCAGTCATGGTCTATTGACTTTAAACTTGAGCATAGTTTTAGTTAAAGTTTGTGATCAGGTCATTTCAGGGGAACCACACGTTGATAAGTCAATGATATTTGGTATGCAGTTGTATTGGGATTGACAAATCTAATATATTTAAATATTATATCTATTTGGCCCTGTACCTTCATTCATACTTCTGTTTCAACAGTTTATTTAAAGTAAAGAGACTCCAGGAAAGGGGAGGGATCAAAAATTATAAGATGAAGACTGATCGACAATGCAACACAATAGTTAAGAGAAAATAAAATCGACAAAAGTAAGCGCGGATTCAGACTGGGGCGCCCTCCCCCTAATAAATGTAAAAATGTAAAATTACAGCCAATATTGCTTTAAAATAAAGTACTCCAATATCTAAAATCTCACGATCGCCCCTAATATGAAATCCTGGATCCCCACCTGGAAAGACCATTAACAAGACATTACACAAGCAACACTAACCCAACCAAAACAAGGATGATCTCATTTCTCTATGTGTATATATTGTGTATAGTGCATAGTTTTAATTCGGCATGTTGAAGTTTTGTATAGACTTTCCTCTATTTGACAGAATCAATCAAAGTTTTATTGAAAGTCGGTGTATAAAAATACAAATACAATTAACGATAAGCTCTAAAGAGCTTTTGAATCGAATAATTTTGAGTTGAATAAGACGCACACAACCTATTCTTTGCCCTCATTCCTATCCACGTTGAATTTTTCACTTCCAAACATTTAAGGGGGGTGGGATCAATATACCCTTATTTATACATCAGACTGTACTGGTTACCGGAACTAATTGTATACACCAAACCAGGTACTTTATATCTGAGAAACAGGCAATATATACACTTTAGAATTAATTCATACATGTTTGTGTTATTCAAGATTTCAGTCAATATGTGTTCTACAAGGATCACTAGTCCTTCACCTTTCATTTGATACCTTAATAACTAAAAAAATATTCTATAGTTTTATACTTACACCTATGCGTAGGAACTATTTTGTTTTAAAGATGTACTATTTCCATTGTTTTTTTTTTGGACCAGGCCCGATTTTGGTGGGGATACATCTTACAAAGTCTACCTGAATCATTTTGCAAAAGAATTCCGCTCAAACCGGTGCTAGGACAGTAATTATAGCGCTGTTCCATTGCTTTTTGTGTGTTTTTTGCTGTGCATGTACTGATTTTGTGTCATGAATGGATACCCCATATCTTTTGTTTTTCTATTGCATAAAGCAATAGCTCCGTGTTGAAGGCCGTATTTTGACCTATAATTGTTTACTTTCTTGGATGGAGAGTTGTCTCATTGGCACTCATACCACATCTTCTTATTTCAATATACACTTCACAATAAATCTAAATGATTCACATTAGGGACGATACACACATACAAACATAAAACACAACACACATACCATGATTAAATGAATAAAAAAAACAACATTATAATGCAACGACCAGATAAACATATCAAGCAACATGCATCACAAAATAAAAAAAAGTAAGCACTAAAACTATCTGCAGCACAGCATCGGCATGAGCAGCCGTTTTCATAGAAGTTAATTTTGTAAACTTTTCCCAACTTGATGCTAGTTTGTAAGAGTTTGGCAGCTCATTGTAATATCTACACGAATAGAGGCCATACCTTAATTGTAGTTCTGACATTTGGTAAATTTGCTGTTTGGTCGTTTCTTAAGGATGTTCGCTACTCTGTTTCAAAATAACAAGCTTTTTAAAAGACTGTTATAAGTTGAAAGTATATGACTAAAGAAACTAAAAAAGCAGAAAAAAATGAAGGGTCCGTGTGCTTGTTTTCGAGAGATAAGCCATTGAAAATTTGGCGGGAAATAATTCTCTCTAGATTTTTCATACGTTTAACATTGGCACTTTTTTTCTTTCAAAAACGATGAAAAAATAACAAGGATTTTAAAAGATTTTCAAAGATGACATTTTAATCTATATGTAATAAAACTATGGAAAGAAAAGTAGGGATTAATGGTAAAAAAAATTTAAAAGGCACTACATGGATAAAACCAGAGGATTCCAAACATCTGACAAAAATTCAAAAACCCAGAGGAGCGAACATCCTTAAAACATAGTTATGTTTTGAAATATTTATGCACAGCACTTTTTTATTAATAATTTTCAAAGGTTTCAAAACTTCTAAAGCTATAGAATTTTTCTATTGTGAAACCAAGTAATGTTACATCTTTTTACAGTAAATTTTATTTCCATTCAAGTTAATTACAATATTATGATTAGTTTTATTTTCAATGACAAAAACCTGCAAATATATATGTGGAATCGCTAGCTTCCATTGGTTTATTTTTAAACATATGCAGCATTTAAAACTATAACTATCCAAAGTTTGCATTACCTTTTCAAAGTCATATGCGTAAGACAAGAGTGATACCATCTGCCTAGTTGTCCGAGGCTATTTTTTATAGGTTTTACAACAGGGGAGAATTGGATATCGCTTGATATTAACTCGAGTCTTTGGCGAGTTTATTATTATTATTGAAATTAAATAACGAGAGTTTTTATCAAGCGATATGCAATTGACCAAGAGTTGTTAAACTTTTTTCTCTAATGTTAAAAATAATATGTTCTATTGAAATGTTTTTCGATCTTTCTAGCTTCACTTCATTCAAATATTAGTCCGCTTACGGTATTGAAAATATTATGTCAGGAACCAAGACTTCTGTTAAATTAGACGTTTTCAAGCTTTGCATACGCTTCGGAATGAAATCAAATTAAATCCCAAAAAAATATTCCCAGGAGAAAAATGTAGGTGTTTGGTGTATAATTGAAGAAATCACATATCTCCGTTGTAAAGCTGGGATTGTGACCATTGAGCTCCAACTGGTGAGGTTGAAAATATCCCT